TGTTCCCACACCACGCAGAACGCAGAACTCAGATGCGCAAACACGCCGGACCGCTCTCGCAGTCCCGCCCACCCATTCTTAATCCTTAATCACACCCACCAAGACCAAGCACGGCGACTCCTTTTCCTGCGCCGCCTTCCATCTGCCTCCTACCCCGCTCCACCCTCCCCTCTTCCAACTCTCTCCCCCCCAAGAAAAAACTCAGACGAGAAAACAAAACCACACCCACCTGCACCTCCTCGTCCTCCGCCAAATTATCCCTTTCGGGATCCATCCCGCGCAGCACATTCAGCAGCCGCTCGACGTTGACGGCCTGCGCAAAGACCGCGCCCTCCGCCGCGGCCTCAGCGGCGAGCTCGGCGGGGGTCGGGTCCGGGAGGGGTTCCTGGGGAAGTTTTAGTCGTCAGAAGGGGGCGATAGCGGGAAGGGAAGAGCGGGGGGCGAGGGGGATGGAGAGGGATGGAGAGGAGAGGAAGATCGAGAGCGGGAGGGAGTCGGAGTTGTACGAAGATGATATAGATGGAAGGGAGATAGATATCGAGGGCTGAACGAAGGAACAAGTTGAGGTACGCACCACATAATTAACCGGAAAGATCCCCGTCCTCCCCCTTAGCTGCCCGCGCCACCAGTCCTTGTACCCGCGATCCACGACCTGCGAAAGAAAAGGCATCAGTGAGACCCGTGTCTAGCGAATGGCACCGTCGAGACGGGAGCAGCGCGACGTGGACATCTACAGCGCCAGCCGACTCGCGTGGAAAGGCCTGCCTCCTTCGCGGTCTGGTCACCAGCTCCACCATCTACAGCATCACCGGCGCCCGTACGGCACCGCTCTCCTCTCCCCATCCTCCCCCGAAAGAAACAAAAAAACGAAAAAAACCCACCTTAATCACATCCCCCTTCTCGAACCCCAGCTCGCCCGCCTCGGTCGGCGCAAACGGGTGCAGCGCGCGCACACGCGTCACGATCGTCCCCGGCGGGATCTCTGACGTGCTCGTCGTGGGGCCGGCGCCTGCGGAAATTCATTCGTTTCGTTAGTGCAATGCCATTATACTGTGTAGCGAAAAAGACGGAAAAACGCACCCACACCCGGACTCGGCGTCCTCTCCCGCTCCCGCTCCGCGGCGGGCATGTACCCCCCGGCGTACCCCCCGCTCGCACTCCCCGCACCCGCCCCATTAGCAGAAACAGAAGCACCAGCACCGGCACCGGCACCGGCAGCGGAAGCAGACGACGACGACCCCCCCGCGCCCGAGTCGGCGAGCTCGAATGCGTATCTGGATGGGATGAAAGCGTGTCAGCCGGTTAATGCATGAGAAATGAAGGAGGGGGAGGGAGATAAGTAAGTAAACGCAGGCCAAGCGGGGGTCAGACCGGGAGCGAAACCGAAGCCGAAGCTGAAGCCCAAGTGTCCTTGATCGTGAATCGTGAATCGGAAGCAAAAAGGTCAGGTCAGGTCGCGTCGCCATCCCATCCCATCCCATCCAAAACAAAGACGAGCGCCGCTACCTGCAAGAAAACCACACCCATGACCTCGACCCCGATCGCACGAAAGGCGCATCGCTCCCCCAGAGAAAGAAAAAGCAAACAAAAGACCAAGACCAAAACCAAAACGAAGGAAGCACCGACTCGACTCGATGAGGCTATCTCCCCCACATCCCCCACCGCCCGCCCGCCCCCGCCCCAAAATCCAAAAAACGGAGGATACAGAGCAAGAGAACAAAACCAAGCACTCACCCACCCCCGCCCCTCCCCCCACGGTCCCTTACACTCATCTCCAGCACGCGCTGCAGCTCCTCCTCCTCGCGCCGCCGGATCGCGTCGTCGACGGCGGGCGGCGGCGGGGTGTCGGGGCGTGTGTATTTGTAGTCTGCAAAATAAAAATAAATAAAAGCGGGATTGGAGGTGAGTGAATGGAAGTGGGAATAGGAAGGAGGTGAGTAGGAGAGAAAAGGGGGGGGGGGGACTCGGACTCGGACTTGGTCGCGGACTGCACACCACGTGTCGAGCGCGTCTCGGGCTCGGCGCCATCGAAACGAAGGCCTCGGAATCGCGTCTTGAGCACGCCCCTCGGCACCTCGACACCGCCTCATCCTCGTCCTCGCATAGGCTCATCGCCCTCCCTCCCCGGCCAGACTTGCTCGCGTCTCCAGCCCTAGCCCCAAAAACATCGCCCAGAGGGGGAGGAGGAGAAGCCACGTTTCCCCGTCTCTCTGCCCCCCGGCCCCGCCCTCATCCAATGTTCTCGTCCTCGCCCCCGCCCCGCCCTTGACGTCCTCGTCCAACGTACGTCCTCGTCCAACGTACGTCCTCGTCCAACGTACGTCCTCGTCCAACGTACGTCCTCGTCTAACGTCCTCGTCCCCAGCGCCCCGTCCAGGCCCATCGCCACCCTTTCCGGCCCATCGATCTGGCCGCCCATCCCCCTCCCCACCCGCCCGCCCATCCACTCCGCCCCCTCCAAACCCCCCAAAACCTCCCATCCCCTCCCCTCCCCCTCGTCCCCCATACAATACAACAAAACCAAACAAAACCAAAAACCAAAAAAAACCAAAACCAAAAAAACAAAACACGCACTCTTCGCCTTCAACGCCTCATAACACTCGCCCATCACCCCAAGCGTGCTGTCGTCCGCAAACTCGGCGGTCCACTGCGCGACAAGCCCGAGCGCGCGCGTGCGTACTTTGTCGTGGGTGTTCTGTGGGGTGGAGCGCGTTAGCTCAGATCGGATGGAAATGAAGGTGGGCGGTAGATAGATGGAAAAATTGGCACGGAAAAGAAAAGCATGTGGCGTGTAAGAAAAAGATGAACGACGGAAAAAAGAGAGGAGACCAGCTGGGCCGGGCGGGCGAAGGGAACCGCAGGCGACGCGACTCGATACCCAGAATGCACAGCGACGACGACACGGGTCCGCCACCACAGACGCAGACTAATCACCCGCCGAGAGGGCCGAGAGAGAGCTGCGGCGAGGCGTCATAGCATACCCGCACGTCGGTCGGCTCAGTGGGATAAGAATCTGCCCCCCCCAAAAAAATTCGAGAACAGAGAATCAAGGAGACGCGGGATGCCGGGTGCCGGGTGCAATAGCGAGGCAGTGGAGTGTGCGCATTGAGTGCACCATACCGCGACGCCGCCGCAGAGCCAGAGTTCGCCGCCGTCCCGTACGCCCCGAACCCCCACCATAGCCGAGCAACGCCGGGTATGACCGCTGTCATACCGCACGTTCGCCGATCCGCCAACGCCAAGACAACGTCCCAGAAAGCCCAGAATAGCGAAACCAAGATCCGCAGCGGCAGCGGGCTGTGTGCACAGTCTTGCCTGACTGGCCGCAGTCGTGCGTGCGTGCAGAGAAGGGTGCGTGGTGGAAGACGGACAGTGCAGCGCAGATATGCCCCGAAGCGAAGCCCCGCTCCCAAGTCCAAGTCCCCCAAACCAATCCCAATCGCACTACTCGTCGTGCTTGCTCACTCGCACGCACTCACCCTATCGGTAACAACCCTCTCCAGCCCCGCCGTCCACGCGCGGCTGGCCAACTCCCTATGCAGCTCAATCCCACAATTCTTGCTCAGCGCCTCGGCGAGACTGAGCGCATAGAGCTGCACGTTCGGGTTGCGGTGCGTGAGGCGCTTGAGGAGGGCGGCGACGACGTTGTGCGCGCCGTCGGGGCCCTCATCGGTGACCTTGTCGCAGAGGTTGAGGATGAGCTCCCAGTTCTCCGAGGTGAGATGCTCGTCGGTGGTTTTGACTGTGTGAAGCAATTATCAGCGACTATGCAGGGATTGTATTACAAGGAAAGGGCACGGACCGACAATGTCATCGTAGGGATTGGTAGTTGCCCCGCCGAACATATCGTCGAAAGTGAGCGGAAATGGTCGTCACTGCGGCAAGTCGTAAGCTGATGTCACGCTTCACGCTTCAGCACGTCACATCTAATCGAGTCACCCATCCATCCATCCATCGCTTGCTACTTTACCTTCCACCATGGCCAAGGGTCTGTCTCTCTCAATATTATCATCTCTCCTACACATCCTCACCCGCCCCCCCAGTCCCGCGCAACTTCCGCCTCCTCGAAGAGCTCGAAAAGGGCGAAAAAGGCATCGGCGACGGCTCCTGCTCCTACGGCCTCGAAGACGGCGACGACATCCTCATGTCCCACTGGAACGGCACCATCATTGGCCCAGGCCACACCGTACATGAGAACCGCATCTACAGCTTGAAGATTACGTGCGGCGACCAATACCCCGACCGGCCGCCCGCCGTGCAGGTCCGTGCCGCTGCGGCCTCGCACTCACGCTCACGCTCACCCTAACGCGCTCGCTCGCGCACAGTTCCTCTCCCGCGTCAACCTCCCCTTCGTCTCCCAAACAGACGGCGTGGTCGACCCCGCAAAGCTCCCCGTCCTCGCACACTGGACACACCGCAGCAGCCTCGAGCTCATGTTGGTCGAGATCCGCAAGTGCGTGCACGCTCCTGCCTTTGTTTATTTCATCTTTGCTTTCTTTATTTAATCTTTACTTTGCTTTCTTCTGTATCATTCTTTGGCTTTGCCTTTACCTTGCCTTGTTCTTGTTCCCACCCACTAACGCACACACAGAGAAATGGCCACCCAGGCAAACCGAAAGCTCCCCCAGCCCCCCGAGGGCAGCATGTTCTAGACGCCCCCTCTCCTCTCCTCTCCTCGCGCGTGGGTGCGTTTGCGTTGCGCGTTCGCGTTCGCGTCAATGCGTGTGGGTGTGGGTAGGGTGTTATGCGAAGAGGGTACGAAGGAAAGCTGGCAACGAGAAGAGGGTACGAAGAGAACGGGAGGTGTACGATAGGATAGACTCTGGTGGCGGTGGTGGTGTATTATACAATGCGACGAATGAATTCACTCACGACGAACTCTGTACAATGCACATGGCTCGTCAAATCTCGAACCCATTTCCTTTCCTTTCCTTTCCTCGGACGCAATGAAGCGCAACAGTGAACCGCGCTGCCAAAAAGCTTCTCTTCAACCTTATGCACGGTCCAAGCGGGAGTCGAACCCACCTCTGCCTGAAATACTATGCACGACGACGAAAATACCAGGCCGGTCTACCGCCGACCCATTGGAGCTTGGGTTTCAGGGGAGGTGTACTTATCAGAGGATAGACTCTAGCGGTGTGGTGTATTCAATGCGACGAATGAACTCACTACTACGACGAACTCTGTACATACACAACGTCTCAATCTCAAACCCATATTTTTCCTGTGTTTCCTCGGACGCAAACTTCGGTCCTTTGCCTTTCCTTTCCTTCCACCGCATCAAACCGTACGTGAACCGCCCGGGGCAAAAAGATTTCAAGTAAAAAGAAGCTGATAACCCACAGACACTCCAAGCGGGAATCGAACCCACATTTGCCTCGAAAACAGCGAAGGATAGATGTGAAATTTCGAAACCGGTCTACCACTGACCCATTGGAGCTTGGAGTTTTGGCGGAGGTGTACGATGGAATAGACTGTCGCAGTGTAGTATTGTACAAGCGACGAATGAACTGACACTCACGACGGATTCTGTACGTACATATCTTCTCAAATCTCGAACCCACATTTCCTTTGCTGTCCTCGGATGCAACGACACTTCACACTGGAAAGTGAAAAAATTTGTCTAAAGCGAATTTGTATATGTTGCAAAAGTCCCTTTTGGGTTGTAAGGGCTTAGGAGGGCTTACAGAGTTATAGGCGGCTTATAATTAACTTACAACAAGTTTACAGATGGGCTATAAGTACTTGTAACTGCTTATAACTCTCCCCGCCTTCCAGTAGTGTTATCGGATATTCAAGAGCTGAACCCGCCTCTCAAAGATTGTGTCAGAAAAACCCAACGTTGGAAAAACCCCAATTCGCTCTGATGAGGCCTCAGGCCTCAGGCTCAGCAGTGCAACATATCAGGTAGAATCAGGGCTGGTCAGGATCAGTCAGGCCCCTCTCCATCAAGACTTATCATTTTCTCAATTGGCCTCTCCACCCTGCATTCTGGAGCATATGTAAGTCGTTATCTGCAGAAAAACAAATTTTAAGTGACTCCGAGAACTAACTCAGCAGACCATGGGTTTTGAACCCGGTGGCTCGAGCAAGGTACATAATCCAACTGGTGTCCTTCTAGCGTGAACCATGTAAATAACTTTACAGTTTTAACCTTACTTCAATATTCTAGTTCAGATGTTTAGTTACTAGTTAGTAGTATCAGTATAAAATGACCACTCATCGTTAAGGTGGCGGTAAGCTCTCTCTAGTGAGAGAGGGTGAAAGGCTTTTTCCCAGCTCCACGGGAATTGCTTATAAGCTTCAATAACCGCCTTTAAGTGCTTATAAGTCTTGTAAGTTCCGTAAGTACTTACAGATAAATATAGTCGATTTTCGAGCCTTATAGACCCCCTTGAAATCTTACAGAGTTATACGGCCTTATAGTGAGTTGTGCCTGCCTATAACTCAAATCGGACTTTTGCGACATATTAATTTTTAAGATTCACACCTACAGTGAAACTGTTAGTGAAATTTTAACTTTCATATACAATGTCATGTGACCTGAATCTGTTATTGAAATTCAAAGTTTCAGACACAGTTTCAAACTATATGAATGTTAAAATTTCAGTTACAATTTCAGTGCAAGAGTGAATGTTAAAAATTAATATACAAATTCACTGTGGGTGAATTTTCCCATTTGTGCACAGGAAACCTCCACCACAGTCAAACCACACCAGAACAAGACATACTTGGGGAGAGAAATAATTTCACCCGCAGTGATTTTGTATGTTAATTTTTACATTCACTCTTGCACTGAAATTGTAACTGAATTTCCAACACTCATATAGTTTGAAACTGTGTCTGAAACTTTGAATTTCGGTGATGAATTCAGGTCACGTGACATTGTGTATGAAAGTTAAAATTTCACTAACAGTTTCACTCTAGGTGTGAACCTTGAAAATTAATACACAAATTCACTTTAGGTGATTTTTTTCACTTTCTGGTGTGCTTCCGTCCTTTCCTCCCATCCACTGCAACGGACCGTACGCGTGCGCGTGCGCCCGGCGGGCCAAAAAGCAAACTATAGCCAGTTCACGCTCCAAGCGGGATTCGAACCCACGTCTATCTCGAAAACATTCACGAACCTAGTGAAATTACGAGACCGGTCTACCACTGACCCACTGGAGCTTGAATCCCTACTGTGGATATTGGTTTTGTGTGCACTCGACGAGTGACAGACCTTCAAACCCAAGTTACTTATGAAATTCAAAACTCGGGTGATCAGCGTGAATATAAACAAATCTGCATACATAACAAGCTTTATCAACGAAACTTCCGCAATTGAATCCATCCATTGCCGATGCCAAACCAAAACAAAAACACATTGATTTAAATGATCATGCAGGCTCCAAGGAGGAGTCGAACCCACATCTGTCTGCCAACTCTCAGATACATGCAGGAAATCGTCAGGCCGGTCTACCATTGACCCATCGGAGCCTGATAGCGGGTGGGCATTCTCATAAATACCATACGGTTTTCGTCAAAGTGTTTCTCACTGGCTTCAAAGCTTCAAGTTCATCAGGCTGGTCTACACTGTCCCATTGGCTTGGAATCATTAGTAGGATTCGAACCCACGGCCACATCTGCCTGCCAAGTTTGATATACTTCGCTGAAAGCACCAAGCCAGTCTACTGCTGAGCCCTTGGCACTTCCAATCGGAATTGTCTGAATGGTGGAGCACATGATAGACAAACTCTGATGCCCTTCTTGCCACTCTAGTTCTCGGATCCAGACATATACATGAATTGTTACACTCACAAACCAACCACTCCTCCTTCTCCTCCAAGTATATGTATTGACCACAAAGAAAAAACTTCATCCTCCTTAAGTGCTCCAAGCGGGAGTTGAACCCTCATCTGCCTGCCAAGTCTGATATACACCACAGAAACCCTCAGGCCGAACTACCATTGACCCATCGGAGCTTGATTACATGCATAAATACTATATGGTTTCGTCCAAGTGTTTCTCACTGGCTTCAAAGTTCATCAGGCTGGTTTAAAAATACAACTGACCCATTGGCTTGGAAATTGGAATCATCAGCAGGATTCCCGCGTGTCATTCCCTTACCTTGCCTCTCTTTCATATCCTTGCCCTTCCTCTTTGTTTCCTGCTCATCTTCACCTCTGCCACATTTCTTCATTCCGTATCTCTCATGTCCTTGTCTTTGAGTTTCTTTCCTCTGTATCTTCATCTTTGAGTTTCTTCCTTTCTCATGCCTCTTTGGTGTTTCCTCCCTCATATATTTATTTTGGGCATTTCTTCACTCGTTTGCCCTCTATATCATATTATGCATCCACCACCCACTAACACACACACAGAGAAATGGCCTCCCATGCAAACCGCAAGCTCTGCCTGCCCCCCGACGGCACCATGTTCCAGGCACCCCTCTCCTTGCCCGTTGATGTGTTAGCATTGGGTATTTGGATGTTGGACGTTGGTGGTGCTGTACTTACTGTGTGTGGTGCAGGGAATTTATGAAGATAAGCCAAGTAGGGTTGGGTATGAAGGAAAGCAGGGAAGGGTACGAAGAGAGGGGAGGCGTACAATACAATAGGATAGACTCTGGTGGCCATGGTGGTGTGGGTGGTGTATTATACAATGCAACAAATGAACTCACTCACTCACAATCAACTCATGTACATTGCTTCTCAAATCTCGAACCTACATTTCCTTTCCTTTCCTTCCACTGCAACGAACCGTATGCGTAGCCAACAGTGAACTGCGCCTCGGCCAAAAAGTTTTGAAGTAAAAAGAGGTTAGAAGGCAACGCACGCTCCAAGCAGGAGTCGAACCCACGTCTGCCTCGAAAATTACGAAACCGGTCTACACTGACCCATTGGAGCTTGTGTCCCTCCAGTGGATGTTTGGTGTAAGGTGCACTCAACAAGCGACAGACCTTCCAGTTATTAAGGTAAAGCCAAGACTAGGCACTCTCCAAGTTGCTTACTTATAAATGCTACCTCAGTAATCAGCGTAATGTAAACAAATCTACATAACGAGCTTGAAACGTACACGATTGAAGTCCATCCATTACCAAAACAAAAATCACAAAATGAGATGCACGCCCCAAGCGGAAGTCGACCCCACATCTGCCTGCTAAGCTTGTGATGCAGAAATGAAACCATCAGGCCGGTCTACCATTGACCCATCGGAGCTTGCTTATATATATGCATTCCCATAAATACTGGACAGTTTTCGTCCAAGTGTTTCTCACTGGCTTCAAAGCTTCAAGTTCATCAGGCTGGTCTACCACCAACCCATTGGCTTGGAATCATCAGCGGGATTCAAACCCAACCCACATCTGCCTGCCAAGTTTGATATACTTCGCTGACAGCACCAGACCAGTCTACTGCTGACCACTTGGCACTTCCAATCCTTGGAATTGTCATGGAGCACATGATAGACTAACTCTGATACCCTTCTCCCCACTCCAGTTCTCGGATCCGGACATGTGGATGAACACACAGCCCTTGTGCGGGGAACCCTAAATATGCCTACACACAAATTAAGAATTTGCATAAGTGAAAGGTATGCGTCAACTGCACCCCTCCAAAAACAAAAAGGGGAGTCAGAGGCCAAGAAGTATGCTCAAAGCAGGAATCAAACCCACATCTGCCCGAAAATCCACAATGTACAAGAAGTTTATCAGGCCGGTCTACTGTCGACCCATTGGACCTTCTGCACCCTTGAATGGTCGGGGAGGATATGATAGGCGAACTCTGACATCCTCCCTGCCCACTTCCCAACCTCCCGCCACTTGGTTCTTGGATCGTGGGGAACTGTAAATATCCATGCAGACGAACCGAATAAGTGAAAAGTATACATCAACTGCACCTCACTTCACTCCCCACAAAAAAAGTGCGGTACACCATCTACGCTCCAAGTGTGAATCGAACCCACATATACCTCTGAAAATCGTATGGAATCAATACCAGAACTCGTGAGGCCGCCACCACTGGCCATTAGAAATTTCATGGTCCGAGTGTGGATGTGTACTAGCCGAATGACAAGGACGCATCCACTTGTCAGTCTTCAAGTTATAACCTCAACTCGGCACTGAGCTCAGCGAGCAGCTATGCACCGGCACCCCCAAGAAGAACCGAAAAAAAGGACTGAGGATCACCATCATGCTCCACGCGGGAGTCGAACCCGCCTCTGCTGTTTCCTCCAGGTGAAATTAACAGGCTGGTCTACAGCTGACACATTGGAGCTTGCCATTGCAACACCACCTTCTTTTCTGTCCAATGTCCAAATAATCAAGCAAGCAAGCATATCTCCTCCACCAAGCAAGTTGGTTGTTTGAACCAACACTAAATGAAGCACGGAAACGGTATCTAAACAGTTTAAAACCGTGTAAAACTGTTTCTAAACAGTATTTTATAGGGGGCCTTTGAAATTAGTACACAGATTGAGCCACCAGGCATTTATTCACTTCAATGCTGCTGGCTCGCATTGTGCTTGACTCGATAAACGAGTGCTTGGTCAACAAGGAATGAGCTAGACAGTCAATATCCCCTGTGAGCCATATTGATTCAACCTTGATGGGGGTGTTAAACACAAGATAATGACAGGGATTTAGAGAATATCAGAAATGTGGAAGCTTAGACTATCATGAGCTGAGTTTGCTGAAGAGCGGAAGCAGCGCTGAACAGCGCATCAATCCCGACTCCCGAGCCATCGGTTGCTTCAACAATTACCATATTAGAAATGTATCTGCTCGTTGAGCATGAAATGGCCAGTACCTAAATATGATGGATTGGGAGGACACTCGGAGACTTCAGAGACACTCCTGACTGTAGGATTGCACAGGATTTTCACTTGCACAGCCTCTGTGGGTGTTTCAGATTGGTCAACCGTTTAAACCGTGTACAAACGGTTTTCAAACTGTTTGCGGCCACAGGTAAACTAAATGAAAACAAAAAGGGTTTAAACCGTGTATAAATGTTTATACACGGAAATGGTTGGAGCCTTATCTTCCTCCGTAACACCAGCGGGAAGGTCCGCGACAAAAACTGTGCTGTTTGCTCTAGCAGAGATCGTTAAACTCCTTCGGTTTATATTGCTCAGCGACCTTCTTACCTCTTAAGCGGTGTAGGTTTAGAGTCTTAATACGGGAAGCATCAATATCCAGTCATCGAAAGAATTTTGTGGCCTTCCTCTGAGCCACCATCCTTGGCCGTGAGTTTCGTCCCACGAGGACCTAAGTCGACGTCCATGGGCTCCGCGGGGCTGATTTCGGGCAGAGGAGCCTGAGCCACCAGCACAGACTCCATCTGCTCCGCCGTATACTGTGCGGCTTGCTTTTCTGCAGCGTGCAAACATGAAAATGAGTTGAGAGGAACAAAGTACTTACATCGAGGCTCTCCCACCTTCGCGCTGCGTATTAACGAGATACTGCGCCTTCTCGACCTTGTCGCCGCACACGTTGATCTGCTGCACGGACCCATGCAGATGCTCGAATGCCAGCCACGCCTCCCAGATCGTTTCAGGCCAGTCCAGGTTCCTCACACCGGGGGCAAAAGCCGAGGCATATGGAATCCATATGCCTTACACGCATGTGGTCCGCATGCGGGGGTGACATTTGCGTGACATTGGACAAAGCTCTTTGTTCGATCTTGATGAAGCCGTAAGTAGGGGCTACTTACTGTAAGGGCAACCTCAGCTCGGCGCATGAGCGCGGGAACTAGCGGGAGAATCCGAAGAGAACTCAATTCACAGTACTAAATACAAGTTTCTAGAATACGCACCTAGCGGGAGAATCCGAAGAGAAGAAAGGATGAGGATTCCCACGCTAGGCGAGGTTTTTATAGGTACTAGCCAGTAGCACGTGTCCGAAGTGACCGGCAGTGGTCCCGAGCTTGATCGCATAGCACGTTCCAGTGTGAACGGCCGGATGAAGGGGGAAGGGGCGGAACAGAGTCCGGAGGGACGGGGGGAGGCGCAGCCTGAGGTTCCGGGCGGAGGGCCGGACGATCGGACGAGGCCGGATGGACGAGGATCGGGCGAGGCAGTGGGGCCGTGCGGTGAGCCGGAGCCGGGCGGACGGACGGACGGACGGATGAACGGGCGGTTCCCCTGACATCACCCCCCCCTTGGAATGCGGCGTCCCGACGCATGAACCGTACATGGGCGCCGCGCTTCCGGAACGAGAGCGAGTCGAATGCGGCCGAGGCGATCCGGCGCAGGGCGTTGGGGTAGCGGCGATAATAGGCATCGATGGCTTCTTTGGCGAAGACGTCTGAGTGCTTTACCCATTTATTGTGTTCCGGGCCGTAGCCTTTCCACCACACCATGTACCAGAGGCTGCCGTAACGGACCTTCGCTTCCAGGATCTCCTCGACCTCCCATTGAACGTCGCGTTCCGTCTGGAGGACAGGCGGGGTTCGTCGTTCTGGGGGCGCCCGGGAAACGGATCCGGTTCCGTGAGCTGGAGTTTCACCACCGGGAAGACCGGGTGGAGCTGGGAGTACCGCGGGGGAAGCTCGAGTTTGTACGCACCCTTTCCGACAACCTTCACGACTTTGAAGGGGCCGAGGCGTTTGTCCGCGAATTTGACGGACGGACGGGTCGTCCGGATGTCGGAGGCGTCTAGCCAGACTTGGTCGCCTACTTTGATCTCCGGGACGGGCGTGCGTCGGCGATCATAGTACAGCTTGAACTCGTCTTTGGCCTTGACGAGCGCGGCTTTGGCTTCCGAAACTCCGGACGCAATCCGGTCTCGGAACTCGTTCGCGGATTCCACGTTCAAGCGCAACCCGTTGGGCTCGAACCCCATCCGGGGGAGCCTTCCGGTGTCCGTCATGAACGGGACTTGCTGCGTCGAGGAGTGGACGTGGTTGTTGTACGCGAACTCCGCGGCTGGAAGGAGCTCGTCCCAGTCGTCCTGTTTGTAGTTCGGGAAGATCCAGACGAACTGCTCGAGCTCCTGGTTGACACGCTCGGTCTGACCGTCGGTTTGCGGGTGGGAGGCGGTGGAAGTCGCGGGCTCTATACCAATGAGGCGCCACAGCTCCGTGGTAAATTCCGCGACGAACTGCGGTCCACGGTCGGAGATATACTTCCGGGGGGTTCCGTGGTGCCTCCAGACGTTCCAGTAATAGAGCCGAGCGGCTCCGACTGCGCCAAGGCCGGTGTGGCACTCGTTGAAGTGGGCCTGCTTACCCAGGACGTCGACCACGACCATGACCGCGTCGAACCCATGCGCGTCCGGGAGCTCGACGATGAAGTCCACCGAGACAGTGTCCCAGCATTCTTCCGGGATCTCGGTCGGGTGGAGCTCTCCGTGGGGTAGCTTCCGAAGTGCCTTCGTCCGGTTGCACGGGTCGCAGGTCCGGACGTACTGGCCAACGTGACGGGACAGCTGGGGCCACCAGTAATTCCGGGCAATGAGCTCGAGGGTTTTGAAGCGTCCAGCGTGTCCGGCGACCCGAGTGTCGTGGTGCAGGGTGATGATCCGGCGTCAGAGGTCCTTATTCCGCGGTACGACGATCTTACCGCGGTAGTGAAGGAGCCCTTCCGCAATGCGCCACTTGGACGCCCAGGGGGAGCGAACATTCCGGTTCTTGAGGAGTTCCCGCGCGACAAGCGCGACGGGGTCCTCAAGGTCCGGCTCACCCACGAAGGCCTCCCAGACGTTGCGAAGGAGAGGAACCTTGGGCCCAGTGACCACGATGCCTTCCAGTGCACGGACGTGGAACAGGTCCGGACGGAGACGGGTAACGTCCGTGTTGTCCGAGCCTACTCTGCGGTCTGGGCGACGGGACAGCGCGTCCGGACGACCCATGAGGCGGCTGGGCTGGTGATGGAGTGCGAAGTCAAACCGGGACAGGTACAGGGACCACCGCACCTGTCTCCGGTTCAAGTTCTGCGCCTTCTGGAAGTACTCCAGGTTTTTGTGGTCCGTCCAGATCTCGACCGGATGCTGCGTGCCTTCGAGGAAATGTCGCCACTCCTTGAGGGCTCGGATGATCGCGAGCATTTCCTTGTCGTGGATCTCGTAGTTGTGTTGGACGTCACTCAGACTCTTGGAGTAAAACGCGACCGGATGCCACTTTCCGTCCGCGTCCGGCTGAGACAGGACGGCTCCGGTAGCGTAGTCGGAGCTGTCCGCTTCGACCTGGTACGGGCGCGACTCGTCGGGCAGGACTAAGACGGGCTCCGCAGTCACCGCATCCTTGAGGGCTTGGAAAGCGGCGGCCGCGGCAGCGGTCCAGGTCCACGCGACACTCTTCTTGGTGAGGTCGAAGAGGGGCCGCATGATGTCCGAGAATGCCTGGATGAACCTCCTGTAGAGGTTCGTGAAGCCAAGAACTGCTGCACGTCCTTCTTGTTCTCCGGAGCAGGCCAGGCAGCGACTCCGGCGACCTTGACTGGGTCCATCTCAACGTGGTTGTGCGAGATGATGACGCCGAGGTACTCGATCAACGACTTCTCAAACTCGCACTTCTCCGGCCGGAGGTAAAGCTTGTGCGCCCGGAGCCATCGGAGAACTTCTCAGACGATCTCCCAGTGGTGCGCGAGGTCGGAGTGAGCGATGAGAATGTCGTCGAGATATACCATGACGTCTCCGGACAGGATGAGGTCTTGGAAGATGTTGTTCATCATCGTCTGGAACGTGGCCGGAGAGTTGGTAAGGCCGAAGTACATCACCAGCGGCTCAAAGAGCCCTCGGTTGGTACGGAACACGGCCTTCCACTCGTCGCCTCCCCGGATCCGGACGTTGTTGAAGCCCCAGCGGACGTCGAGCGTCGTGAAGAACCGAGCTCCCTTCAGGCGGTTAATGAGGTCGTTAATCAACGGGAGCGGGTATCGGTTCTTTACAGTCATCGCGTTAAGCACCCGATAGTCCTGGACGAACCGGAGGCTTCCGTCCTTCTTTTTGATGAAGAAGACCGGAGATGCCATCGGAGACTTGGACGGGCAGATTCGCCCGGTACTCAACCCGTCCTTGATGAACGCGTCGAGTTCCTTTTGCTCGAGGGGGGAGATCGGGTAGACCTTGCAGTTGGCCGGTTTCGCATCCGGGACGAGTTTGATGGCGTGGTCCCATGTCCGGTGTTCCGGTAGCGCGTCAAAGGATTCCTTGTCGAAAACGTCGGAGAAATCCTCGACCCAGGCCGGAACCAAAGTCCCAGGCGGGGCCGAGTTCCGGGCAAAGGCCTCCGCGAGCTGTTGAGAGACGGTGCTACCCGCGCGGATTTCTTCGGCCGGA